ACGCTCCTGTTGAGGGCTAAGGAAACGCTTATCTCCCTGAGCGTGGCCTTCATAACACCATTCCAGCACAGATAGGTGGGGCGGGGGGAGTTGAAGCACATGCTGCAGTCATAAATGCAGGCGGGCTGCCAAGCGCCCGACTTTTAATCACATGACCTCAGGTGCTTCAATGGCCATAATTTTGAGGACCAGTCGTAACTACCATTTGTTCATTTGTAACTTTGAACAGTCGCTGTTCGGTTGTTAAGCAAGTACTACCTGTAAGTTGTATCTGTAAATGCTTTCTACTGATCCCGTTCTGTGTAAGCTGAATCTTTTGCAGTCCTCTCTGTGACAAGGTCATACTGCCTATAGTATGTCACGAGAGTGCTTGTATTCAGATTAATGTAGTGGCTGCTACACCTAGTCTCTACTTCCTGATATATTTTCTGTAGAATTTCCAGGATTACATACTAGTCCCTAGAATTACAGAAAGATAGAAAGATAGAAATAGAGATGACTATTAATCTGAATTTGGAGCCCTTCTTTTTTTATTAACATTCATCCCTGCCTCCTGTTTATCCCTTCAGTCTCAGTGCTAGTTCAAATTAAATTTATGGTTGATCCAACAATTAGGCTGTGCAGCATATTCAGAATATTAAAAAATCCACAAGCAAAATCAAATAATCAAATTAAAAACCATATTTAACAACTGTATATGGCTACTACACAACGTAATTTGACAGGGCCATTTATTTTTATATGATTTTCTCTTGAAATGCAAAACAACATTACTGTAGAGTTGATCCAGTATCCTAATTTCACTGAAGTTTGGATAGGGGTGAGCTCACTGAATCCACATAATAGTAAGTAATAATGATGGAAAGAATTGCAAAAGGTAGCTTATAGTCTGGTATATTCCAGTACTTCTCTTGCATTTCTAATCTGAAGTAGCTGTTGGATGGTGTGGTTTTAGGCAGTTTTAGCTTTTCCAGCTTTGTTTTTTGAAATGACGTTCATAAATATTCAGCATAATGGTTGGAGATAGCATGTCTTGGCATCATTAGGAAGTGTGGTTTGTGATAGGACCATTTTACCTAGGGGGTTTTGTGCTCCCCATCACATACTTCTTTCCCTAGACCTCACTCCACCTTATATACTACACACACTCCCTCTTCTTTTCCTAATTCTAATTTGTTAGTCTTTTAAGGTGTTAAAACTTAATTCGTTAGACTTTCAGATGCCACAGGATTCTTCATTGCTTTCAACAAAGTGGAATACAATGAGTTCTTTCCCTAGGTGTGAGAAACTGGCTGAGATTGTTTGCCAGAACCGTCAACAAGTACGCCGTGCTGAACACCTATGCCAGCAGCTGCCTATTCCTGGACCCATTGAAGAGATGCTAGCAGATCTTAACACCACCGTCACAGACATAATTTCTGCACTAGTCACTAGGTAGGGTTGTGTTGTTAGATCATGCTTTCTTTCTACAGAGACCTTTATTATTAGAGTGGGTTGTTGTGTGTTCAAAGAAACAAAAGCTTTGTTTACTGAAATTGGTGGAAATTGCTGCATACGATCTATATCATGGATTCAACATTTATTTGCAAAAATAATATGTTCACAATAGGTGAACTCTTGGATTATATTACCGGGTTTTCTTTACTTTCTGCATATGTTAAAAATCACCATAGTCTTGATGGAGAAGGTGTATTGTTGGGTTCTTAGTGTTCTCTGAGATTTTTTTTTCCTTGAAGACATTTCATTTCCAGGCTAGGTAACATCTTCAGTGCATAGGGGAGTGATGTTTGCTAGCTATTTATATATAGTAGCTAGTCCTACCAGCTTTGATTAGGCTATTGCTTCTTCCTTGATTGTTTCTGTTTATCTGGGTGTTAGTTAATAGGCCTGTGCTGAGGGAGGCTGTTTGGCCCTTTCTTTGATCTTTGGTTGCTTCCTATTTTGAATGGTTTATAGATGGAGCTTATTTCATGTGTCTGGTAATAGCTGATTTGCCAAGCCTCTAGAAATTTGCTTGCATTTTTGGATCTGGCTCAGTCTAAAATATCTACAGCTTCCCAGTTGAAAATCTGTTTGAATTTGTTGAAGAAATTGTCTTCTGACTGTCAGTTAACATTGTCATTGATGCTTACTGTTTGCCCTACATGGTAGTTTTCACAATCCTTGCATTATGTGTTATAAATGACCTGTTTTGTCTTTCTTGGCTGTTGGGTCATTGGATTTTCTTAGGATAATTTGGATAGATTTTTTTAGATTATGGGCTCCCTTAATACCAAGGGGTTGTAGTAATCTCTTGGTAGTTTCTGAGATGTTTTCGATGTATGGAAGAGTTGCCCCCATCATGGGATGGGCTGTTGATTGAATAAACACTTTTTGATGAAGTTGCATAGGTATCCATTATGCTGGAATATGTTATATAGATAGTCTATTTCTGGTTTTTTGGGGGGGGAGTTCTAGTAATTGCAGTGTCTTTTTGCTTGTCTGATTAAGGCTATTACACAGTTGCATAGGTATCCATTATGCTGGAATATGTTATATAGATAGTCTATTTCTGGTTTTTTGGGGGGGGAGTTCTAGTAATTGCAGTGTCTTTTTGCTTGTCTGATTAAGGCTATTACACAACTTTTGTGTGTTGTTGGTTGTTGCTGTGATATTTGAATACTTGATTGGTGTGGATTACTTTTCGATATACTTGGGTTTGTAGTTTGCCATTGTTTTCTCTACTAATGAGATGTATACACTGAGTTGTAAAAGCTAGGGCTCCTTTTGCAGCCTTTTACTTTCTGTAAGTAATGACTTGGTCTTTTTTCCCCCTTATCTCTTTATAGCACATTCATAATAGAAAAGCAGCCTCCCCAGGTGCTGAAGACTCAGACCAAGTTTGCAGCAACAGTACGACTGTTGGTTGGAGGAAAGTTAAATGTTCACATGAACCCCCCACAAGTAAAAGCCACCATCATCAGTGAGCAGCAAGCCAAAGCTCTACTAAAGAATGAGAGTACCCGCAAGTATGTATGTTTCTTAATGCTAAGGAAGCAAAGGAAGGGAGGACAGACATCCATTTCTCCTGAACCAGCTTACCCACCACTTAGTACCCTCTAGATGCGTGGGCTTTCAACCCCAACACATCTGAAGGGTGCTGTGCTAAGAAAGGCTACCAAAAGATGTGAAGGGTAGAAATTAATACATAGAAATATGCCATTAATCTTCTTAAATAAGAACATAGTCATCTTAACGGAAAAGAAAATTGGCAAGGTATCTGTATAAATGGATATTTTTACTGTTTATCCAAGATGCTAAAGTATTAAGGGCAAGAAAGCGTTCTGTCAGCGTCTGAATTTCAGCCTAACCCTCAGAACCTGAAGCCTTAAGGCTTCTTATTTGATTGCTCCTTTGCTGGTCTCACAACCTGGGTGACTAAGCAACTTTCATTACCTATGTCGTTATTACAGTTTGTCAGTGCTTGTTGGAGAAATCTTTCTCCTCAGAAGGTAGAAATTTGGTGAATATTATATGACACGTTATTCCCATTAAGCTTACCTAAAGGATTAGCAAGAGGGCA